ACCCGAACCAGAGACTTTTCATCTCCTGTCGGCTTTCCCCCAATATTCAGTTTAAAAACTGCTCTGCCACCTTTTTGATTTTAAGTGCCAGCAGCCTGGTTCCTTCTCGGGACAAGTGGAGACCGTCTCGCCTGTACAGCCCCCTCTTGTTCCAAAATCAACCCGAACCAGAGACTTTTCATCTCCTGTCGGCTTTCCCCCAATATTCAGTTTAAAAACTGCTCTGCCACCTTTTTGATTTTAAGTGCCAGCAGCCTGGTTCCTTCTCGGGACAAGTGGAGACCGTCTCGCCTGTACAGTCCCCTCTTGTTCCAAAAAGCATCCCAGTGCCTAACAAACTTGAAACCTTCCCCCCTACACCATCATCTCATCCACGCATTGAGACTCCTGATCTGTGCCTGTCTCTCCAGCCCTGCACATGTGTTTATGAAGTCCTCGAGTGCCAAGCAAAAATGCTCCATGTCCCCCAGAATGCGAGCGAAGCCTTTTAAAGTTTTCTGTTCTTGACCACCACCTCTTTCTTCTTCCTCATAGCTGCTTCTCATGGAGAGGAAGCTGCAGGAGGTGCACCCGCTCCTGACTCTCTGTGGGCAGATTGTGGAGAACTGGCAGGGAAACCCCATCCAGAAGGAGTCGTTGCGGGTGTTCTTCTTGGTGCTACAGGTGACACACTACCTGGATGCTGGCCAGGTAAGCAGAGGCGCTGAGGCTGGAGTGCTGCAGTTTGGAGGACGACCTCTGGGGCAGAGGGGGCCAGTTAACAGCTTGGAGGGTGCATCAAGGAACAAAATGGGGCAGAATTAAAAGGATCTTTAATAATTGTACAGCCCCTATATGTTCTGCGTGCAGCTTTGTCAGGGGGGAATCCTTCAGGTTCTTTTTAGCTCTGTTCCCATACGTACACTTAAATAGCGTTTAAAGGAGAACAGATGTTTTCAAGCTGTTAAGAAATTGGTTTTACATACGTCTACTTTTTTCTGTTTTGTATTTAACCCTTGTGTGTGCTTTATCAATCTTGTGCTTTTATAATTGTGAAAATGCTAACTTTATTGTGCAGCTGGCCATTGCTGGGGGGGAGATGTCAGTTTGTATGGCAAAAGTACATGTTGGACTTGAAAGACACCCCCCCTTCCCCCGTGGGAAAGATTCCTTCCCTGGAGAATAGAGATTTTGGCCTTCTCAGCTTTCGAGCAGCTTGTCTCTCTTGTGCTGCAGAATAGACTGGACCAATGTTCCCTCTAAGCTGTCGAGTCTTGTGAGCAGAAATTCTACTTTGTGAGCTACTGGCATTAAAATTGTGAGCGAGCGATTTGGCTGCTGCATAAATTAGTTTGCTCTGTAGCCATCCTTCCTGAGCTAAGACAAAAATGTGTGCGCCAGAGGCTAAAAAAATGTGAGCTAGCTCACACTAACTCAGCTTAGAGGGAACACTGGACTGGACCCAGTGGGGAAGGGCCATGGCTCAGTGGTAGAGCATCTGTTTGGCATGCTGAAGGTCCCAGGTACAATCCCTGGTGTCTCCAGTTAAAAGGATCAGGTAATAGGTGATGTGAAAGACCACTGCCTGAGACCCCGGAGAGTCGCTGTCTGTCTCAGTAGACGGTACTGATCTTGATGGACCAAGGGTTTGGTTTAGTATAAGGCGGTGTCAAGGATGCCAGGCTGAACCCCTGTGGGTCCCCAGGCCAATTGTACACAAGTGACCAGACCGTTGTTTTGTGCAGTGGTTAAGTGCGCGGACTCTAATCTGGGAGAACCGGGTTTGATTCCCCAGTCCTCCACTTGCAGCTGCTGATGTGACCTTGGGTCAGTCACAAGCTCTGGCACAGCTGTCCTTGAAAAAGAGTAGTTTGTGTCAGAGTTCTCTCAGCCCCACCCACCTCACAGGGTGTCTGTTGTGGGGAGGGGAAGGGAAGGGAGATTGTAAGTCACTCTGAGACTCCGAGTGAAGGGCAGGGTATAAATCCAATCTCCTCTTCTTCTATAAAAAGGTTTGTAAAGGTTATTTCAGTTTGTGTGTGTGTGTGTGTGTATATTCCAAAGCCAGCAGTTCAGTCTAAAATCATACAGTAGAAATAAGAAAACTTGCACAACTGTCTTAACACTTCCTGAAGCTGTGTTTGACAGCAGCATCCTTAAAGCTGAACTCAAAGGCCAGACCATAAGCATTCTCTGTGTTGCTGGCAATTGCAATTTGAGCAAGTCTTATCTCAGGCCTCTAGTCAATCAGGATCTCAGCTAGCGTGTTTCTTTCAGGGCCTTAGTTCACTTATAGTTTTTGGCTCAGCCGCCTCAGGTGAAGATGATAATCAATCAGAACAGGTTCCCCAGAGAAGCTCCTAGAAAAATCACCTAATCACTCCTGACCCTCCTTTTCCCACCTGTGGGTCTCAGGCTGACATGAGAAGCGAATCGCACCACCTCATCTCCGGCCTTGAAAATGAGAAGGCCAAAAGTCCAATTAGCAACACCTGCAAGATGGACCAGACCTGTTTGTGTCCACATTAACCCTTGAGAGGGAGGCCAGGGGTGCTTTGCCTCACAGGCAGCTGCATGTGTTCAGTGCTTGTGCCTGGGATTTGGATTTGGGCCTGGGATTCTGAGGCTTGGGGTGGGGTGGGGGGATGACATTCATGAGTCAGTGGTCTGCCATGTGGTTGCACTAAGGTATGAAGCTCACCGGGCTAGACTCTCTTTGCCTCATTATTCTTGCAGGACTGTGGACATATGATTTATTTATATCTGAATTTATATCCCGTCCTACCCCGAAGGCTCAGGGCGGCTAACAAGGGCACCATGTGCCGAGGTTAAAACAGTAAACACATAGTTTAAAAACAATAAATTACAATAAAATACAATAACAAATTTACAAACAGATTTAGACAAGATGGGTAGATCTTAACTTCCAAACTACTTCCTAAGATCTTATCATCTAAGCCGTGCCCAGGCGCTTCGCTCCCCCCTTGGGGTGCCAGGCAAATGATGTTAATACTCCAGAGCATAGGGGGCAAAGGTGGAATAGTGGTGGCGGCCAATGCTCCCTCTAAGCTGTGGAGTCTTGTGAGCAAAAATTCTACTTTGTGAGCTACTGACATTAAAGTTGTGAGTGAGTGATTTGGCTGCTGCATAAATTAGTTTGCTCTGGAGCCTTCCTTCCCGGGCTAAGGCAAAAATGTGTGAGCCAGAGGCTAAAAAATTGTGAGCTAGCTCACACTAACTCAGCTTAGAGGGAACACTGGTGGCGGCTCCTACTCAAAGGCCTGGCGGAAGAGCTCCGTCTTGCAGGCCCTGCGGAACTGAGAGAGTGATGGGTTGAGGAGAATCTTGTACACTGGCCTGAGAGCCTTGGCAGAAGGGGGGTGGGGAATAAAATGTAATAGAATACTGATAATGCTTGTATCCCCCCCCCCTTCCATCAAGGAGCTCAAAGTGGTGTATCTGGTGCCTTCCTTTCTTCCCGTCACAAGCAGTGGCTAGAAAGGTTCTCTGAGGGCTGCCACCACTCTGGCATGGTTCTCCTCGGGAGAGCCCAGAGCACCCACTCTACCCCTTTCATATACGCCTTTTCCAGTAGCTTTTCCCCATATAAGTGACCGAATGAGGTGTGAGGACCCAGACAAGAGTAACAAACTAGTTATTGAAGCGTTTTAACGACGACTGTAATTCAATAATGTAAGGAGAAAATGAGCACAGTAAAGGTAGGTAAACTAGCAAAACAAGAAATCCTAAAGCATCTGACTGTATGGTCCTAGCCTTCTCTAGGCCCTTGGTCTCCGATCGACTCACCCTTTTGGATGAGGGGTCCCTCCTCCTTCAGCAGCCTCACCAGCTTTGCTCCCTGGGAGCGAACCCCCTCCCACTTTAGGCAAGGCCTTTTTTCCCTTCTTCTCAGGCACCACCACCACAACAAATTTATTCACAGCAAAAAGCCAGCACTCTAATACAGCAAACTAACTTCAAACTAAATTCATGCAACCACAAGCATAAATGAAATACATAAAATGAATATCAAATAGAGCATGCATGTACAACCTGTTAGGTCCTGTAACAAATTACATCTATGCGTCTTTCACTAGGAGCTTTCTAGTCCTTACAGCTAACCAGCCAAATTTGGCAAGTTTAGCTGTAACCTTGGGGCACCTGCTTTCTAGGAGGTTCTTCGGCAATTGCATCTTTTGACCAATGCTCCCTCCAAGCTGTGGAGTCTTGTGAGCAGAAATCCTACTTTGTGAGCTGCTGGCATTAGAGTTGTGAGCGGGCGATTCGGCTGCTGCATAAATTAGTTGGCTCTGGAGCCCTCCTTCTTGAGCTAGGACAAAAATCTGTGAGCCAGAAGCAAAAAAGATGTGAGCTAGCTCACATTAACTCAGAGGGAGCACTGCTTTTGACTATCAGCAATTGCATCTTTTGACTATCCTGGGCACCACCCTCTACTCTGCTGGTGTAAGTTTCCCCTCCAGATCCTTGTGAGCTATCTCACACTAACTCAGCTCACTGTGTTTTGATTATCAGCAATTGCATCTTTTGACTATCCCGGGCACCGGCCTCTACTCATCTGCTGGTGTAAGTTTCTCCTCCGGAGCCCCTGTTAGCCAATCACAGGGCCCAAAGAGTGACCTGGGAAATGCAGGCCCTGTGGTCACTGCAATACAGACTTCCCTAGAGCCTGTGGGCCACACTGCTCTAGGCCTAGGATCGTGACACTTCCTCGCCATAACTTTGTGAGGTAGGTTAGAGCGGCTGGCCCTAAGGCCATCTAGCCAGCTTCGTGGTTGTAGGAGAGAGAGGACTTCCATCATGCCCTTGCCAGCCCTAATCTGACGCTCTGATCACCGCTGGCTACCTAAACAAGCGGAAATACTTCAAATGCAGGGACCTTTACATTGTTCATCTGATTTCGATGTGTTCCACGTATTTTTAAACCCCAGGCATCCTGTTTGAGAGCCTGCATCCCCCAGTGCCGCGACGCACACTTAAGCACCTTTGTAGAGCTGCGGTGGCTCAAGTGGTTAAGATGCTGAACTGCAGGCTGTGGAAGGTCAGTAGTTCAGCAGTTCGAGACCCGGGTGCCGCATGATGGAGTGAGCTCCTGTCTCTAGTTTCAGCTCCTGCCAACCTAGCAGTTCGAAAGCAAGAAATTGCAAGTAGATAAATAGGTACCACTTCAGTGGGAAGGTAATAGCCTTCCGTGCGCCTTGGTGTTTAGTCATGCCGGCCACACGACCACGGAAACGTCTTCAGACAGCGCTGGCTCTTCGGCTTTGAAACGGAGATGAGTACCGCAACCCTAGAGTCGGACTCGACTGGCTTTCGAGCGAGGGAACCTTTACCTTTACCTAGCTCTGGATAATGGTGCATATGGCCATGTCAGAATTGGGTCCACCTCCAGGGGGAGGGACGCAAGCACTCAACATGCAACTCAAGGGACAAAAAAAGAGCCGTTTAATAAAAGAATTCAAAACCACATCCAGTTTCATAGGATGTTTGCAAGGCAAGAACCATTCTGAAATACAAAACAATAGCAAAAATTAAAAAGGAAGCCACTGACAAGTAGTAACTAAAAGACTGGCTTACGGACATAATAAAAACAGGCCGTTTCATGAGTTGTGGGCAGTTCCTTAAAAGTGACTTCTCATTCCAGGCTGAGGGGAAAAGGAGTTGCTTCTGCCTTGGCAGCATTCGTCGAGTCCCGTCCCGGCCGAAACGCCACGTGGCTCCTTGCACAGAGAAAGTGTCCCCCAGCCAGCCTTCTTCAGGCCGCCAGCTGCATGCCATTAACAGCCCGCCAATTTCTCTCGAAACCGGGCAGGCCTCCCTCTGTAAGAACTTAACAGCTAGTAGTCGATGAGAGCTGTAAAATCTACAGGCTTACCAAACAGCTAAACGATACAGGCCAGGCTCGGTTTTGCTCCTCGCCCCTGGGCCTTTTCATCCAGCCTGTGGCCATTCTTTTCTAAGGCAGTTCCTCCCCCCGCAGGTGAAGACGTCAAGCCATGTCTGAAGCAGCTTCAGCAGTGCATCCAGACCATTTCAACCCTCCACGATGACGAGATCCTGCCCAGCAACCCTGCGGATCTCTTCCATTGGCTGCCCAAGGAGCACATGTGTGTGCTGGTCTACTTGGTGAGTCGCCTTCCTGTGTGGTGTTTGAGCTGACTTTGGGTGGGCCAGTCCCCTCTCCTAACTGGCTACTGCAGGAGTACCGTGGAGTGTGTGGGAGGAGGTGCCCTTTTGGGTGAGTGCTAATGGGAGAAATGGAACATTCTTTGTGTGTCCAGTACACATCCTCCTGGGCCTGAGCTAATCCCCCCCCCCCATTTCAGGATGCCAGTTTCCAAATAGCTCCACGGAAATCATCGCTCCTTGCCCTGGTTTGGCACCACCGCCAGTGAACACCATGTTGTCTTTTTGCAAAGCTTACCCATCAGTGTCATGATCAGTGTTCCCTCTAAGCTGAGTTAGTGTGAGCTGGCTCACAGCTTTTTAGCCTCCAGCTCACACATTTTTGTCTTAGCTCGGGAAGGAGGGCTCCAGAGCAAACTAATTTATGCAGTAGCCAAATTGCTCGCTCACAACCTTAATGCCCGTAGCTCACAAAGTAGAATTTTTGCTCATAAGACTCCACAGCTTAGAGGGAACATTGGTCATGATGAGAGGTGATGTTGTGGTGGAACTCCCTTGTACACTGAAATTCCTAGGCTCAGTCTCCAGAGTTTCCAGTTCAAGGACCTTGACTAGCAGTTGTTGACTTGACTAGCAGGGGTCTTTCTGGGCTTGACACCGCTGGTCAGAGGAGACAGGGCTGAGCTTGATGGACCACTAAATCTGACTTGGGATAAGGCAGCTTCCTATATCCACCTGTGCCATAGAAATACAGTTTAGCAGCAGCTGTCAAGTCAGTCTTTATTGGCATGTATCAGTAGGACAAAGGCATTATAAAAGTATACAGGTAGGACACTATATTACAAATAAATTGAATAAAATAATAGGTTACAATTGTAATTTTTCTTGGCGTAGCAGCATGGCGGATTGAAGGAACGTAGCCACTTTCTCAGTTACTCCAACAGAGGAATCATTCAAAAGTTTGTAAACTTTATGGGAATCTAAAAAACCCATCATGTTGGCCAGTATAGAGTTTAGATATTTAGAGCGTGACATTGCAACAAAACATGTAAGATCGCCTCAACACATCCAGATTCACAAGGGCACTGTCTAGCCGTCGATGCCGTCTTATTGAATCTGCCATATAGAATGGCACATGGCATGGCATTGCGTCTGGCTAAAGAGAAAGTTCTGCGTAGTTGTGGCGCTTGTAGGGAGGATAAATATGAAGCCATCCTGCCTACAGTGAGGGGAATCGCAAAAGCTCAGAGGAGAGTAGGTTTTGTTGGCGAGACTATGTAACTCCTGACGCTCAATATCCAGCAGCTGTCACACTGCCATCACAAAAATCCTAACTATAAATACACGTTGATGGGGTCTGAACTGGTGGAGACTGACCAGGAGAGAGATCTTGGAGTCATGGTAGAGAACTCACTGAAAATGTTGACTCCATTTGCGACTGCAATAAAAATGGTAAATGCTGTGCTGGGAATTATTAGGAAGGGAATTGAAAACAACCCAGCCAGTATCATAATGCCCCTGTGTAAATCTATGGTGTGGCCTCATTTGGAATACCGTGTACAGTTCTGGTCACCACACCTCAAAAAGGATATTATAGCACTGGCAAAAGTGCAGAAAAGGGCAACTGGAGTGGTTAACGGGATGGGACACTTTCCCTATGAAGAAAGGTTAAAGAGGGTAGGGCTCTTTATCTTGGAGGAACGATGACTGAGGGGTGACATGATAGAGGATTACAAAATTATGCATGGGATAGAGATGGTGGAGAAAGAAGTACTTTTCTCCCTTTCTCACAGTACAAGAACTCGTGGTCACTCAATGAAATGAATGAACAGTTGGTTTAGAACAGATAAAAGAAAGTACTTCACCCAAAGAGTAATGAAAACGTGGCATTCACTGCCACGGGTAGTGATGGTGGCTACAGGCATAGACAGCTTCAAGATGGGGTTAGATCAACATATGAAGCAGAGGTCCGTCAGTGGTTGTATAAATGGAACACTATGTCTGGGTAGTGATGCTCTGTATTCTTGGTGCTTGGGGGGCAACAGTGGGAGGGCTTCTGGAGTTCTTGACCCCACTGGTGGACCTCCTGATGGCACCTGGATTTTGGCCACTGTGTGACACAGAGTGCTGGACTGGATGGGCCATTCGCCTGATCCAACATGGCGTCTCTTATGTTCTTATGTCTGGGGCAGTGATGCTCTGTATTTTTGATGCTGGGGGGGGGCAAAAGTAGGAGGGCTTCTGGAGTTCTTGACCCCACTGGTGGACCTCCTGATGGCACCCAGATTTTGGCCACTGTGTGACACAGAGTGCTGGACTGGATGGGCCATTGGCCTGATCCAACATGGCATCTCTTATGTTCTTATGTCTGGGGCAGTGATGCTCTGTATTTTTGGTGCTGGGGGGCACAGTGGGAGGGCTTCTGGAGTTCTGGGTCTGCTGGTGAACCTCCTGATGGCACCTGAGTTTTGGCCACTGTGTGACACTGAGTGCTGGACTGGATGGGCCACTGGCCTGATCCAACATTGGCTTCTCTTATGTTCTTATGTCTGGGGCAAGTGATGCTCTGTATTCTTGGTGCTTGGAGGGGGGGCAACAGTGGGAGGGCTTCTAGTGTCCTGGCCCCACTGCTGGACCTCCTGATGGCGCCTGGTAGGTGTGCACATTCTAGTTATGTGGGCGATGCTATATGTTGTGCCTGCGTACGTTTCCCTTGCTGTGGTGGGAGGGCACGAGGCCTCTTACCGGCTATCTGACAGTGACAGATTCTGGTTTTCCCTGCCAGGTGACAGTGATGCACTCGATGCAAGCCGGCTACTTGGAGAAGGCTCAAAAGTACACCGACAAAGCGCTTATGCAGTTGGAGAAACTCAAGAGTGAGCAATGTTAAAAAATTTGGGGGGGAGGGTCATTGAGTACTGTTGGGTGTGGCTTGGTACCTTTTTGTCAAGGTTGTATGCTGGAATACCAAAGATGAATGTTAAATTGCCCGGCTGATGGGTATATGTTGGCTTTTTATTTTTTTGTACAAACACCCCCTTTATTACTGCTCTTCAGGAGCCAAGATTCACTTTCCCAGACCCCACAATAGCTCCCCTTTAGACGTGAACGAGCCATTACCTTTTTGCAAAGCTGAACTCTCCCTCTTGTGCCAGCGAAGAGTATTCCTTGGTTATCTGTGGATTAAGGCCAAGTAAGTCCTTTTTGGCTCATGCAGAGGAGGCATGCTGTGTCTCCCTGCTGGTGGGTATTTCCCAGTCTTGTTTTCCCACAGAGGGCAGAGACGGGAAGGGATTCTCTGGGTGCAGTCAGACGCGCCGTTTGATCTGGTGTTGTGACGGTTCAG